GAGACTTACAAAAAAAAAAAAAAAAAACACCTCCCCCAAAGAAGGTAACTCACTGAAAGACAGAACCAGAAAGACCAAATAAAACAAACCAATGAGATCTAACCATCATCTTACTCCAAGGCCTAGCAGAACTGAGTCTTTAGCAGGTTACATAAGGTCAAAAGAGTGTCAGCAGTACTGATCGCTAGGGGAAAATTGTTCCACAGTGTAGAAGCCATCCCCAAGAAGGCATAGGTCCTATAAGATGATACTGCTTAATTAATGGGAATTATCCACTCTAGGTGATCTCACCAGAAAGGCAGCAATATATATAGACAGGCAGTGTTTCAAGCAACTAGGCCCTGTGCCATACAGGGATTTATAGGAAATAATCAGCATTTTGAATTGCAGCAGCAAGCCAACCAGCGACCATTGTAGGTATTGAAATAGAGAGGGGACATTGTCAGGCCCTCTTTGCAGTTACATGACCAAACTTTTCATGTTGGCAGCACAGACACATGTATGGCCATTTGCAGCATCGTGATAGAATTTTATGATGGTTTTGCCAAAAATGGAAAATTCTGGTTTTTGCCAAAACTCTGCCCGTAGCAAACGATTGGTTCACTTAACGGCTAAGGTGTTTGCTTAACAATCACTACAAAAAGGTCATAAAATTGGATGAGTCATACAACTCACCCATTTTATGTCTGTTGTGACATATGTCTGTAATGGGCAGGCTCCATTTCCATTGTATGTTGGGGGCTACCTGTACAAGTAAGATTCAGATAGATTTTAGCCTGCCATGGAAAATGACATCCATAAGCACCTAAAAATGCAAGTTAGCTGTAGGTGATATTTCAGAATAGGATTTCAGGACAAATCTTGAGATTTACATTCTTGGCCTCTTATGGTTAGATTTCCACTCTTTGGATGTAGCAAACAAATAAGATAAAATGAACTCAGAGGAAAATAGCATTACTCATCTTGAATCTAATAATGCATGTGTTTTGATCCCATATTCTCCTTATTAACTGAAAACTCCTATTGATATTTATGTTTCCATCTGTTGAACACAAGATTAGAAATAGTTTATTCTGATTATTTTCCAACTGTAATAAACTAAAGCAAAAATTGGAAAAAGTGGAATAAATTTGAATCATGTGCTTAAGTGCTGAATTATATGTTGTAAGAGCATGTTGAATGTTATTAAATTCAGTGCATTCATACACATTTTCAGTTGGTTCTTCATATTTGTCTTATTTTTAAGAAATATGGTTCCTGGGCTGCTGATCATACTGTTTTTGTTTCTATGTGTTAATTTCTTTGCTTGATATTATTGATTCTTTCTGTGGCCAGTATTTTTCATCCTCTGTGAAGATCATCATTTATCATTATAACAAGCTGATTTTCATTTTGGGAAGGAATTTATGGCAATGTGTGGTAATAATGCTTCTATATTAAAATGTATGTCTGAGCTTGACCAGAAAAACTTAATTTGAACAGGACATTCTTCCAATTCTAGCATTCAGTAGCAGCCCCTTCAGTACAGCTGAGCTTTTAAAACTATATTTACATGTTAATTAATTGTAGAATAGTTTGAGTGTATATTATGTTTTGCTGGTGGCATCTGGTATTTTTTGTTTTGGAAGAGTGGTACTCAAGAGTCTTTTCTTAGAAATACTTGGCAATACATTGACTTGTATTAAAGGTAGAACTACTTCAGCTTCCATTAATCTTACAGTATGATAAATTTTCCCCTAGAGTGTATTTTTCATGAGACTTATGGATAGCTTTTCCTGGCATTTTTTTTATAGATAATATATCTTAGTGGACTTCTTCAGTTGAAGGTTGTCATAATAGTGGAAAGGCTAAAATCTACTTAGTCAATGCATATACCTACAGATATACTTCCATACAGATGGAGAACATTAGCCTATTGGATAACAGTTTTGTGAATTCTGGCTTCAGTGCATTATTTGGTTCAATTCAAAATATATTATTATTATTGCCATCTGAATTTTGACTGGAATACAAAAGAATACTGCTACCATGTGTAAATTATCTTGAGAATGCTTGTTCGCTATTCAAATTTATATGTCATTTTTTGGTAAATACATAATACGTTTTTTGAAAAACATTGTCAGGTTTGGAATGCCATATTTTAAACTAGCTCTCTGTTTGATGACATTCCAGTCCAGGTTCAAGATTTCAAGGTGAATTTCACCCACAAATCAATCACCAACCTGCCATATATGTTATATTCTGGGCATGGGTGCAAGGAACGGAGACGAGTCAGAGACTAGTGAACTTCAACTCTTTATTAAGGATTAAGAACAGAGCGTGACCAACCCTTGGGCAGCAGCAGCTCTTTTATAGAGCTGGCTGCTGACCCGTTAACCAATGACTTGTGTCCAATGCTTAACTTTTGCCCAATGAGAGATGTCCAACTAATAGCCAATCAGGTTGCTCCGTAAGGACCAATCCCTGTTCGCTATCCATGGGCCAATCAAAGGTGCAGGATTACAAGCCTGCTTACCATGAGGTTGATAAGTTTTATTAAATAGTTTTTATTAGTTCATAACAATATATTTATTTGTTTTTATATATAGGCGTGGATAATGTTCAGGGGAGGGGCAGAAGTTGCTATTCTGAATTTATAGATCTGCAGAAGTTGCCAATGTGTTTATTATGCCACTGAAAGGAATGAGGCTGATTTTTTTTCTCCTTGTGTTTGTGTGTGGGCGTATTTTCAGTGTTTTGAAGGCGTTGATGGGAACAAGACACCTCTGGGAAGGACAAAGTGCACTCTTAAAAGAACTTTTCCTTAGCAGCCATTTTATACCAATTTTAGGTTTGGAGAAAAGATAGGTGGGAGGATTTGCCTTGCAGATATTTCTCACTTCCATTTAAACTCTTAAAAATCTGAACAAAGCAAAACTTTGAGTTGCAATCAGCTTGTAAAATGGCAGTTTTAGGACTATTAGGGATTTCAAATAGTAGTTGGTGTCAAGACTCTTTTAAGTATTCTACTCCCATTTTTACTCTAAATTTTGGTGGGAGAAAAATTAATTCTATTTTGCCACCAACATTCAAATGCACTCTCTTTTTTTCACTTATTCCTGCAAGAAAAATAGTACCAGTTGGGATTCCTCTTTTTCACACATTGGAAGTGATATACTTCAGTGAAGTTGGATGGTAGCAGCAGAAACAACCATATTCTTACCCTAAAGAAAGAGGCAGTACAAGAATATGAAAAATTTATACAGTATTACAACTCTATATTCCTGCAACCTTTAATTGGGTGAAATTGTACACCTGTAGGGAAAAAAAATCCAGTCCGGGTCCAAGCCGGAAGAAAGGCACTGGAAATAAAATGGAGGCTGATTGGAAAGAAGGACTATTTATTGATAAGCAGAACCACCAACAGCATGCAGTTCTGGGACAGCTGACAAATAGGTCGAATGAGTGGATGGATCTTTATAGATTTCTGTGACTTTAAAGATTGAACTGTTCTTGGGATTGTGCAATGAAGGGGCTTTTGTGTCTCTTGCTATTTCAGTGGTGGTGGGTTAATCCTAATATGTCCTAAAGGTCATGTCCTGTCCTTCTTAACCCCATTACCTGGAGCTGAAGGTGTATTGTTTATGAATAGATTGGCTTGGATTTCTTAATGGGCAGAAATCTCCATCTCTAAAGACTTCAGGGATCTGCTGGAGGCTGTTGGGGGTTGCTTTCTGCCTTTGTTAAGATTTTTCTCCTTTGGGCAAATATAATATTCTGTCTCTTAATATTCCACAAAATATTTCTTTCTCCTGGGGTGGGGGTGGGGGGGCTTCCCACACACCATAGGGCAAAACCTTTTGAACCAAGGTACTTCAAATGGCTCTTGAAATTTGGCACATTTTTAAATCATTTTATGACATAAAACAATCATAAAACAGTTTATGATAATATAAAATGTCATAAAATATTTCCTGTGCTGATGTTTGACTGGGCTATTTTCAAACAGGTACATCTCAGAATGTATTGCTGATAGTTTGGGGAAGACAGGACAGTAGAAACTCTGTCATTGTTGAAGGCATTGAGGAATCTGGTAAGGAGATATCTCTGAAACCATGATCCAAGGAGTCATGGGTCGTCTAACGTTCTGTTAAAAATAAGCAAATATTCTGCAATAGAATTTAGGTTAAAAGGATCTAGGCAAAATATACTTAATTTCAAGATACATTATAGTAAAGTGGTCTAAAAAAGATACAATGCTCAATAAATATTAAAGCTCTGAAATTAGAACAAATGCTCCATGGCACCTACATTTAAAAACCTGTTTGTTAAATTAAGAATGGCTATAGGGAACAAATGGTAAACTGTATTAATCTGTGATGTAGAATTCTCCATAAACTGTCCCCCTTCTGAATTTTCTCTGGAAATGAAAAGCTTTTGATCTGAATTTGGAAATGAAACAACATTGACCATTCTAACCTCTAAATATTTTCTTTTCCAACAGATTCTAAATGAAGAATGCAAGATGAATCTTTGTCAAAAGTTTAAGCTTGCTTCAGGAATGATCAGTCTACTTTCCTTTTGGATTTCATAAACTATTGCTTGATCTATCTAAGTTGATTTTTATTGATCATATCAAGACAAGTAAAATGTTTTGTAGGCTTTCTAATTCTTTCTAGATCTTAAACCAGCAAGGATTTTGGTGCTGAATGGAAACAATGAACATTTTTAACAACAAAGAACTCTATGCCCTGGTTGATGGTCGTCATTGGAGAGATCAAAGGAATATCTGTCAAAGATTATGGGAATGACTCTCACAATATTACATTGTCAGTTCAATCTAGGGGCCTTGCTGATCTTATTTACTTTATATATACATTGAGCGTAAAGATGTGATGACTTTTTCTGATTTTTCTAGATATGTAATGTTAGTTTCAGTTATTTGCAAAAGGAAATGGAGATTTTATGGACTTTGTCATCTGCATTTGACAGTTGCCACAATCTGCAGTGGCCTACAGTAACCATGTGACCTTAACTTGCTGTTTCTACTGCCTTAAGAGGCATTCTAGGGAGATTTCCTTGGCAATTCAAGTTCTTCCTCTAGCACAGGCAATTTGCAAAGTATTGCCATGATGTGTGAGGTAATGCCTACCATTAGTGAGGGTGACCCCTTAGGGCCACAGCCAGGCTCTGATTCTGATGCCAACTTTGAACAGCTGATGGTGAACATGCTTGATGAGAGGGATAAACTGCTAGAGACTCTTCGGGAAACACGTGAGACACTATCTGTGACTCAGGGCCGGCTGCAAGAGACTTTCCATGAACGAGACCAATTGCAGAGACAGTTAAACTCTGCTCTACCTCAGGTAAGAAGATTAATAGACAAGATTTTTGTTAGCTGAAATATAAGCAAGGAGCAAAAATAGTTAGGCGTGTGTATTGATCTTGTGTGATTTAGCACAGAGAAAATAGGTTTTATACTGTAATCATTAAACTAAAACATAAAGATGATATTGTATTAATTGCTTTCTTATTTGTCACCAATTTTTGACAGAGGTAATGCTTCTAAAGTCATGTTGGCTTTGTCATTAAGAACAATTCTCTACCATCACTATTTAGAAAACATAGTCTATCTAGCTATACAAGGTGAAGACCGTGAAAATGAAAAACCATCTCAAACAGCTGAATGTCCATTAGATTCTTTGAAAAGTTGTAGGCTAAATTTAATGGAGAGAGAATAAATATTAGGGCTGTGTGATGCTTTGGATTCATTTAGGAAGAGATTCTTTGAAAAAAAATATGCTAGAGTGAATGCTGTATCTGTGATAAATTAAAGTACCTATTTTGGCTTTCAGGATTGTTTAGGTGCAGCTGAAAATGTTGCTTTAATGAGTCACAGGCAGGTGTTTTATTCACACTCCTAAGCTCTTCTGCAGCACCTCTTTTGAGTTGAAACAAAAGTTGTCCAGCCCTAATAAATATAAATTTAATCTAGCTAAGATGACTGAAGTACTCAGTTTAGGATTGTGGTGAAAGGTATCACTATTCTCCCTGAACGGACAGTAGCATTTTTACAATAGCAATATAAATGCTTTGATCAGTTGATCCTTGCAAAATATAAACTTAAGTCATTTTGACATCCATTGGTAACTTCATCCATCTGTTATAATATTGGCTTTTTCAGATAGCATTCAAGGATCACAAGTACCATAATAATATAAATCATAAATGACCTGGACTGCATATTTGTTATAGCTGAGATAATTTACTCTATACAACATGTTTTATGAAGATTATGTGTTGAACATTAAATCTTAAATCTTGAAAATTTCTCTGATTTTACATGTGGAATTAGTTTATTTTGTAATTGCTTTTTTCAACAGGCAGTTTTAGGCTAAAAAAAAAGAGCTCTTTAGTCATAGTTATTCATATTTAATGTACAGCAATTTTGTAATATAGAGTATGATTATCATAGTACATTTCCAACATCTGTAATTATTTAAATTATGGTTTATTCCTCATTAGCATTCTTAAACTGTGTGGTGCCATGTGTACTTGAAATTATGTAAGCTAATTTTGCAGCAAGCAGCAGCGCTTACTTATACATTTTTCTATAGATTGCTGCAGCAGTGTGCTACTTGAGGGATAGCATTGTGGGTATATGGAATCACTTCATGTGAGATGGCTAGTAACATAACACGTTCGTACATAATATTTGGTGTAAGAACTATGTGTGAATTTATGTAAGCTTTTAGATCTATCTGTGATTTATCTATTAGCTTTTATCTAAGCTTTTAGATCTATCTATGATTTATCTATGAGCTTTTAAAGTGGGTAGCTTGCAAACAAGGCAGGGCTTGTATAAAAAGACAATGCAGGTACCATTGTTATCTAAGGCTGAGAAACAAATAGCAAGAAGTCTGTCACCACATGCGGGTGGGAGAAAGAAACAAAAAATAGAGGCTGGATTCTGTGGTATGTGGTTTGGATTCTGTGGTTCATGATGTTTATTATTAGGTCTTTTTGTATCTGTAGTAAAAACAACATATCTATCTCAGCTTTATTCTTAATCTTCCACTGTTAGTCGTGGCCTGAATGAAGCTCTGCCTGTAGGATCAGTTACTCATCTCATCCATGAAGAATGAGAAAAAGCACCAAATACTCCAGAAATAAATCATGCTTATACTTGTAACTCTCTTGAACTGTATGTGGAACAAATTGTTAGCACCTTTTTAGTGTCATAATTATGTGACAACTGAGAATGATTAGTTAATGAGGGATAAACCAGTGCTACAAGTATGGTGGATGGAATTCATTCCCAGTGACAACTTACATGCAATCTAGGATCCAGCAGCCATAGTGGGAGCTGCATCAGTTCTCAATGGCTGAGCAGTTGCTTTTTTGGTTGATGTATGATGAAATCAGGGCAATTTTCCTTTCTCAATGAGTTGTATATCTTTCTAAGGCCTCTTGGACTGATTTAATGTGGGATTTATAATTAGCTTTCTGATAGAGAGTGAGGCAACTAATTTACAGCCCAGATGTGAACATGTCAGTTTTGTGACACTGTTCAGGGCTATTTTTGATGAATCTTTCAAACAGGTGACTGCCAGTCACAAAAGCTATAACCTAAGACAAGATAAATGCTCAGTGAGATAATATACTGTTGATTTTCAATTGTTAACTCAGATGTGGATTGGAATTAATGAGGCTTAAATCCCAGTTTGAAAGGATCTGCCAGGAAAAGAACAGGACAAATGCATCCATTACAGCAAAGATTTTGTATGCATTAATACAATTCTACTCGGGGATCAATAAAATACTTGAGGAATTACAGCACTATATTGTCAAGAGAGGAAATATTCTTTGTGTTCCCTACATTATTTTCTTTGGTTCTATCATTACTACCTCCTCTCTTTCATCAGTGATTTTCAATATTGAACTCCCACAGCTAGGAGACTGAGAAGAGCTAGGTCAATACACACAAGATCTATGTATATCATTTGAAGAACCTAGTTACATTTCAGAAGAGTGCCCTTCCAAGAAACCACCTCCTCCTGAAATGTCAATAAAATATTGTACATTTTACAATAAACAAACAACCAAATCTGGCTTTTTCAGAAACAAATCAATCCATATATCTGATGTGATAACATCTGAAAATAAAGTAAAGGTCAGCTATGTGAGACTACTCATTGACATTTAATCATTTATGTAACCTTTAAGGCCTAGACTGTTCAACTGTAAAGTGCCAGAACTTATTTTATTCTGATGCCATGGGCAACTTCATAAAATCTTCAGTCACATCTAATGTGCATATCTTGCACATTCAGCCTAGTGAGAATGGACATTATTGATTCCAATTTTTGTGGTTCAGCTGAAATCTCAGGGACCTTCTCTTACTCATCATGTATTATCAAGAGTCACTCAACTTTATTTGATTTTCTTATTACAATTTCTGATAGTTGCAGGAATAGGTTGTCATCAAGCTCATAATCCATTTGCTGAAACTGGAAAAGCATTCCATTGAGCTCGCATGCATACAAAGCTCATTACCTCCATGGCCTCATGCCCCTTGCCTTTGCTCAGCACACCACAGTACAGAAGGAATTTCCCTATATTTTATCTTAAATATTTTGGCTTTGGTCATGTGTGTGAGAATTGGAAGCATAGATTGTACCTCCCCATCAGTTTTGTGACCTTATTCTTGGGCCTCAGATTCCTGCAAAATATTGCTAACCCATATTAAAACTGAAAGAACCAGCTAAAGACAGCTGTTAAAAAAGCTTCATTTTTTTGCATTTTTAGCCAACATCCATTTTGTTGTTACTGTTGTTAAAAAGTAGGGTTGTTCCTTATTACAGGTTTCTGAACTCTGTAAGAATTGTGAGCAGTTTAGAGCAGTGATCCCCAACCTTTTTTATGCCGCGGCCCGGTACCGGCATCAGCTGGGCGCCGCCATCTTTTTTTGATGAAAAAGTGCTTCCGGTGAGCTTTCTACCCGGAAAAGCTCACTGGAAGCACTTTTTCATCAAAAAAAGATGGCGGCGCCCAGCAAACCAGTGGTTGGGGACCGGTGGTTGGGGACCCCTGGTTTAGAGAGAAACAGGAGGAACACTAAACAATTAATTGATGGCAAGATCATTAATGGCTTATCTAATCAATGGGAACTCCAAGTCTTTATAACTTCCCCTCAATTCATGTTTTTAAACTCCATATTAAAGTCTCTGTGTCCTTCTGTAAGGTCTTGACAGCAAATATTACATTGTTTTCCTCCTGTATGAACTATTATAACAACTATAGAAAGCACACATTTTTACTAGGTTAGATTCCAAAGGGATTTACAATCTATAGTAATTGAATGAAAGCGGTAGCATCTTGTCTCCTGTGATTCTGGAAAGCCTGAGTTTGGACCCAGGCCTGGAGTTAATATTGTTTGAAGTAGTAGTGTTTTGCTTTGCTTTGTATTATTTTTAGATCATTTTAGTCTGGGATGGCTTTGTGGTTTTAGGTTTCAATTGTTCTCATGGATTTGGACTGTGATTGTTTACTTGGTTTAGTTTTGTACCACCACCCAGAATCCATAAGTGTTGGGTAGCTATAATAAATTTAAATAATAAATAAGATTTGGATACGGTGACAAGAAGGAATTATCATATTCAAGAATAAACCTTTAGCAAAAATTGAAAGAATGACAAGTAATGAAGATATACTAATAGAAGAGAACATATGTAGCTCAGGGTTGAACTGTATAGTTTTTGATGTTCTCTGAGCTTGGTTATTTGCTTGGAAACATTTTATTACCAGACTAGATAACATCTTCAGTGCTAGAAGTGAGTGGGATTTGATGTGTTTATATATACTGTTGCTTCCCTTGTCAGTGTTGGTGGGGGCATTGTTTACTCTTTAGTAATTCTTTGATTAAGCTGTTGTTTACTGGTGTTACTTCAGGCTTATCTGAGTGTTCATTATTTTCAAAGAGGTGTTCTGGTCTTTTGGTTCCCTTTTTAGCTTTTTTATTGTCTTCTTGGAATGGTGTGTAAGTTGTTTCTCTCTAGGTGCCTGTTGATGGCTGATTTGCCTGAGTGCCAAGCTTCTAGGAATTCCCTACCATTTTTGGATTTAGCTTAATCTAGGAAGCTTTCCCAGATTACATTTGTCCATATGTTATGAAATTAAAGAGTTTTCATTACATATTCTGATAGCTAGTTGGTGTTCATGGATGCGCTCTGCTAGTCTTCTGCCTATGTGTCTACATAGTGGCTGTTACAATACATAAATTCTTGTAGATGATTCCTGTTTTTATTTTTGGGCTACTTGAGTTACTTAAGATGTTTTGGAGAGCTTTAGTTGGTTTGTATGCTAC